GAGGGGCCAGTCCGCGGCGGCGTGACGCGATGCGGACGTCCTCCTCCTCATCTCCGAGGAAGAGGAAGAGGAAAAACCTCTCGCCTCTCTACCCTATCGAAGGGCTGCCACCCTTGGACAATAGTTTTAAACGATCGTTCATCTTCCACGATGCTCGTGTCCGACATTCTACTCCGGTGTACCAGCGGTGCCTTTGGCCGGAAACGAACGGTTACGAACGGCGCGGGTCTCTCGATATCGAGGTTCATCTGTCGGGGGATGTTTTTGGGAACGGATGCGGTGTCTGTGGCGACGGAAGTGCGACAAGCGGCGGGGGTGAGTGGAACGAAGGGCTCGAGCAACGCGGCGACAGATCGAAAAAGTGTTTGGCGACGATCGTCGTGTTCCTCGGACTTTTGTGCGGACATTGGTGCTCCGTCGGGGCAGAGGCGCTCGCGGGCAGCCAGAAGTACAGCACGAGGACGGTTAGAACGAGATACGGCACTTTACGAGGCGTCGAAGCCAGATCCTCGACGTCCGTCGAGACTTATTATGGGGTCCCGTACGCCACGCCGCCGATCGGAGCCCTGCGATACATGCCACCGGTCACACCGACCCCATGGAGAGATATCAAAGTGGCGGACACCATGCCACCCGCGTGCCCCCAGAAACCACCGAAACCAGACCCGAGCCAGCCACGGAACAAACGCGCCTATCTCGAGAGGCTAGCGCCGTTGCTGGCCAACCAGAGCGAAGACTGCCTATATTTGAACCTCTATGTGCCCAAACCTCCTCGTGGTGAGTCCCATTTTCTTTCTTACATTACTTTGCACACTGACTGTAACTTATCATAGGATTTATTTTTTGGATCTGTTCCTTGATACAATATTCAAGGAATTCAATATACAATATCCTATTATACGTATCGTAATTTTAATCCTTTTGAAGGTAATTCACTTTCGCCATTTTCTTTAATTCGAAACAATTTTTTACTGTTGTTAAAAAGTATTTTATTCAGTGTCACTCATAGTACAATATTAGCGATTAATAATAGAAATGAGTTTGACTTAAAAGAATTCGTCAAAGTCTTCAACTAAAAAGTGCTGTCTGTCGACAATAAAAGCATTGAGTGCAACTTTCATTTTCACATATGATTTTAAGATATAAATCCCTATTTTATAAAACAGGTCCTTTGTATAATGTAGAAAGAAAAATTATGTTTTACTGATTTTTCGACTATGTGTCTTCTCTAAATAATCATCCCTTGACAATGAGAAATATAATCAGTGACTAACCACAACTGATTAGTTGTAATACTATTAAGTATTACCTGAAATAATTAAAAAATAAATGTTCTGTAAATAATTTAGTAACCTATAAATTCATGAGATACGAAATACAATTGAATATATGTCTTCTAATTCGATCGACATTCCTAAAATCCCAATAATTTTTTCTCTCTCATAATTCAGTTGTCAAAAGGATATTACTTAAACGCTCTTTATCTAATTGCTCCGCAATTTTACGGGTTGAAATCACGTTTAGATAAGAAATTCACTCGAAAATAGAGCCTTATCGAGGCTGAACTTGAACGTTAAACAGCGTATACACGCCATAGCGCGCATAATTTTACACGATAACCAAAGTGCCTCTTTGCACGCGAAACGTCAAGTGAAACTTTTAACGCATTTATCTTTATGGAAACGATTAGGGTCAGAAGTTACTGTAGGTACTTCATGCTTCTTGATAATCGTACTTTTATTAGCGGTTGCTATTACTGTTTTTATTGTATCAGTGGAGCTCGAGTGCTCGTTCAACAGCTTATGTGTAATGTACAGGGTGCGGCCGAGTGGAATTTATCAATTTAGGAAGTTAGATTATGGGTTGCTTGGACGTTTATATATTCTTATTCTGGGTAATTTGGAAAGTTAGGTTGGTGGCGCGAGGTTGGGAAGTTAGGAAATTGTTAGGTAATTTTGATGGTTATTAATTTTGGTTTAGGTAATTTGGTAATTTAGAAATTTCAAGTTTTTAGATTTTTGGATTTTTAGATTTTTGGATTTTTAGATTTTTGGTTTTTTAGATTTTTAGATTTTTAGATTTTTAGATTTTTGGATTTTTAGATTTTTGGATTTTTAGATATTTGGATTTTTAGATTTTTAGTTTTTTAGATTTTTAGATTTTTAGATTTTTAGATCTTTAGATTTTTAGATTTTTAGATTGTAAATTTTTCAATTTTTCAATTCTTCAATTCTTCAATTCTTCAATTCTTCAATTCTTCAATTCTTCAATTTTTCAATTTTTCAATTCTTGAATTCTTCAAGTTTTCAATTTTTCAGTCCTTCAATTTTTCAGTTCTTCAACTTTTCAATTCTTCAAATTCAAAAATTCTTGAACTTTCATATTTCACGTTCATAAATTCTCAAAGTTAGTTATTTAGAAATACAGAATTTTGGAAATTCATGAATTTAAAAAAATAAGAATTTAGAAATGTATTAATTTGAAAGTTTAGAAACTTTAGAAAGTTCAGAAAATTTAGAAAATGATGACACTGACCACTATCCAATATTACTATAAATTGTACACGAAAATGAGAAGGTACTAAAAATTGTTGTAACCAAAAGTACTGTTACAATGATATCATTAGTGTCCTAAGTAAGATATTTAATACCCTTCACAGCAGCTCTTACCCTGACCCTTTCTAAGTTCCTCAGTTAAGATTCTCTTCATGGCGAGGGTGCTAGGATGTTAATTTTACTTAGGGTTTAAGGTGGTGTCGAGATAAAGGTGTTAAAGAAAATTGTATTATCAAGAGAAGAGTCTAGTGTCTGCAGACAGTGCACGTAGGGGCTTAACTTGACAGACTCTGTCAGTTTGGATCTTCGTGACACTTGGTGTTAGAAAAAGCTTTGACAACAAAATTTTCTCACGTCTCTTCCTTCCGCAATATTATTTCCTTTGTAAAATATAAATCAGGGTAGTGAGCTTTATCTTCATTGAAAGTTGTTAAACATTCACAGTTTCATTTATGCAAGATAAGTTATTAGAGCTGAAAAGCTTTATACGGGTGTGAGTTTGAGACAATTCAGATAATGCAATCACCATTATGCGTCAAAAATTGCTTTCCATGTTAAAAGCAATTAATCAAGTATAGGTAATCGAGATTGCATCGATAGTTACACAACCGTGTAATTACACAGTGATGAAATAGCATGATAGCAATTTGTTGTCATAAAACAGCTATTGTGAACGCGGACAGTAGCTTATAATTATAGTAGAGAATAATTCTTGTTTAATTATGAAGGATGGCAATAAAGATGACATCTATGTTATTGTGTTATATTTTTAGTACTTTAGATTAAGCGATAGGTCCATCATTCCGTAATTTCTACGCGCTGTATTTTCACGCGGCGTAATTTCCACGCGCCATAATTCCACGCTCCGTAATTTCCACGCGCTGTATTTCCACGCGCCGTAATTCCCACGCACCATAATTCCACGCTCCGTAATTTCTACGTGCCATAATTCCACGCGCCGTAATTCCCACGCACCATAATTCCACGCTCCGTAATTTCTACGCGCCGTATTTCCACGCATTGTATTTCTACGCGTCGAAATTTCTACGCGCCATAATTCCACGCTCTATAATACCACACACCGTAATTTCCACGCGCCATAATTCCACGCTCCGTAATTCCCACGCGCCATAATTCCACGCTTCGTAATTTCTACGCGCCGTATTTCCACGCATTGTATTTCTACGCGCCGTAATTCCACGCTCCATAATACCACACACCGTAATTTTCACGCGCCATAATTCCACGCTCCGTAATTTCCATGCGCTGTATTTCCACGCGCCGTAATTCCCACGCGCCATAATACCACGCTTCGTAATTTTTACGCGCCGTATTTCCACGCGTCGAAATTTCTACGCGCCATAATTTCACGTGCCATAATACCACGCACCGTAATTTTCGCGCGCCATAATTCCACGCTTCGTAATTTCCACGCGCTGTATTTCCATGCGCCGTAATTCCCACGCGCCATAATTCCACGCGCCGTAATTTCTACGCGCCATAATTCCACGCTTCGTAATTTTCACGCTCCATAACTCCACACTCCGTAATTTCCAAGTAATTTATATTAAGGAATATACATTTTTTTTAGGCTTGAAGCTGTCGCTCTCTCATGATCTGTAATTTAAAATTGCAAAATATGATCTGTAATTTAACATCACAAAATTATATGACCTGTAATTTAATATCACAAAATTATATGATCTGTAATTTAAAATTGCAAAATTATACGATCTGTAATTTAACATCACAAAATTATATGACTTCTAATTTAATATCACAAAATAACATGATCTATAATTTAAAATAGCAAAATTACACGATCCACAATTTAAAATGTCAGTTACGCAGCTCATCACGAAATAAGTTCGAGCTATAAAGTTATACGTTTTTTTCTGTGCAGTAGCTTTGAATTGCAGTTAAATGTTCTCTGTGCAATTACTATAAATTACAAAGTTATACGTTTTTCCGTACGCAATTAATATAAATTGCAAAGTTATACGGTTCTCTGTGTCCAATAAGTATAAATTGTAATGTTATATTGCAGTAGCGTTGAATTATAAAGATACATTTTTTGTACGCGATCGAAGATAATTTTCTGTAAAAATACGGCAGTTCGTTAAATTACGATAGCTACTTTTATATTGAAATTTACCTTTGATAATATACTAAGAGTGATGTATATTTATTTCTAAATTTAACGATGAAGCTGCACATTCTACACGTGGAAGTTGAGATATTGTAGGGGTAGTTTCGACGTGATGCATAGTTCGACATAGAGCTTATCTATTATTTAGCGTCGTTCTAATAACGAGGAAACACGTATTTTGTTATACTAAACGTTGCACAATTGCAATTATATAAACTATCTTCGTATTTTTAGTAAAATGTTATGTATTACTGTATTAAAATCATCATCGTTTCTCTGTCGTTTCGAATACTGCATGAAAATAGAAAAACCGGGAAATAATCGCAAACTCTGCAATTGATGCAGCTCTTGCCGAAAGCATTCGATTGTGGTTCGATGGCCGGGTTCATTTTCATTGACTACGCAGAAAATTCGGTAGCCCAACTCAATTGGTTGAAAAATGTCCTTAACAATATAACGTCATTGATAGCGCCGGAAAACGGGCTCCATTGTTCGGAATAATCTCGTGTTTCGTGAAGTGAACTTGATTGTATTATTTTGACTCCATTGTGCAAGCTTGAGATTCAATTTGTGCTACCAATTTAATACAGCCGCTGTTTTCCGAGCTGGACAATTTCTGTCGGGGTTCTTTACGGTTCAGAAATTCGTACGTGATTACAGGAAAATAACGCTGTTTCGATAACTTCATATCCTCCAATCTCACGTTCAGAAAGTTTGAAACTTTCAGGTCCAATTTTCATTTGCACTTTTAAATCTTATGGCCACTAGGTTTCAAATCTTCTTACTAAGGTAGAAAATTTCTTGTATCTGAGTTTCAAGAAATTTCTAAATCCTCTTAGTTTCAAATTAAAAAATGTTTCAGGGCTTTCAAGTTCAAAAATTGTTATCCTCTTACTTCCATGATTTTTAAATCCTCTTCCCAGTTCCAGGATTTCGAAATCTTACTTTTTATATTTATTATAAGTAGTAAATATGATTTTTCACTCCGTAATTTCCACGCGCTGTATTTCCACGCGATGTAATTTCCACGCGCCGTATTTTCATGCGCCATAATTCCACGCGCCGAAATTTTT